ACTAAGAGCGGCGCCCAGATGCTCCTTGAACCCTGACAGGCTTGGTGACATGACCACTTCCGTGGGGAGCCTGTACTAAGGACTGACTACCCTCTCAGTGAAGAACCTTTTCCTAATGCCCAATCTGAACTTCCCCTGATGCAGCTTCATTCCGTTTCCACGTGTCCTATCACTGGTCACCAGAGAGAGGAGATGAGCATTTCCTCCTCCTTTGAGAAAGCTGTAGCCTGTGATGAGGTCACTCCTCAGCCTTCTCCAAGCCGAACAAGCCAAGTGTCACGGGTTTGAGTCTCGTGTGTATTTTTCTAAAAGTGGGGGTAGACTCATGTGAAGATTTGAGCGCCTTCTCCACCCCCAGGTAGGGGTCGGACCTGCCTCTGGACAGGGCCAGCCAATCTGCACCTCTGCCATCAATGTATTTAAGAGATGACCCCACTGTTCTCTCTCCCTTTTGGTTTTATCTTGTTTTGAGCTGTCCTGTCTTTAATGTTGGGGTTTTTCTTCCTGTTGGAGGAGGGGGAGGTGAGAGGAGAACAAAGGAACATCACCCTGAGAAGAAAGAGAGGGAGAAGAGTCCCAGAGGAGAAGGAGAGAAGGCTGCCGGAGCAGGACCTTTCCCTGGAGCCCTGTGGTGGCTGAGATGGCAAGAAGGTGATGCCTGCCAGCTGAGGGAATTGACATCAGCAAAATCGTCCAGGATGCGTCGGTACGTGCAGAGCCCCACGTCAGAGGGGACAGAGATCGAGCATCAGCAGGGGACCTGCCCGAAGTGATTCGTGGCCCTAGGAGGAAGAGGATTGTCTCATGAGGTGGACACCAGGCAGCAGGAAGGAGAGACTGCGAGGAGCCCCCTTTCTCAAGGAGGAGCTGCCATGGACAATGAGTAACGGCCAGATGGACCAAACCCCCACCCTCTGCTCCCCCTGGACTGATGGGGAGGAGGAAGAAGTTACCAGGAAGATGGGGGAGGGGCGAAGTGTATTTAAGATCGGGTCGGATTTATTAATGTTTTCCTCTCATGTTTACTTTGTAAATGGTGGTGGTGAACTAAATCTATGTTTTTCTCCCTAAATCGCTCTGGTTCTTTACCCATCGTCTTAAATGGTAGATTATTACCATCCCTATCCTTAATGTCAAACCCTTGAGTCTTTTTTGGTTGAATTGTCTCCCTCCACATCACTATGGAAATGGGGGTGGGGGGAGGAGTGAGCTGGAGACCGTGATTTTTTTGTCGGAGTTGGCTTGAAACACGACACCAAGGGACATCAACCACTCCTCCTAAGTCTTGCCCTCAAGATCTTTCACAACCTTGGTCACCCTTCCTCTGGATACACTCGAGTAATTTGACCACCTTCTTATACTTAGTTGCCCAAAACCACTCACAGCACTCGAGGTGGGGCCACACCAGCGTGGTGCAGAGTGGGACAATCACGTCCCTCAACAGGCCAGCAACGCTGTTTGGTGCGCTCCAGGGCAGGGTTGGCCCATTTTGGCTGCCAGGGCACACTGTTGACCCATAGTCAATTTGCCATCAACTAAAGCCCCCAGATCTCTTTTCATGTGGCTGCTCTCCAGCCTCTCGTTAATTCGTACATATATCCAAGATTACCTTACCCCATGGAGAATCCAGCACATGTCAATTTTGTACGGTAATAATTTAATTATTTTTTCTCACACTGAAAAAAAATAGTACTTGATTTTTAGTGTGAGAAGTCATGTATTTTCAGGTTTCAAACACTAGATCTCATTGGGATTATTTTGTGGCAGATTCAATCCTGCCCATGATCAGAAACTTTTCATCTGCAGAGATCTTTGGTGACTGTGACCTAATAATCTTTTAACTTTGTGTTAAACTTACTAAAA